ACAGCTAAGGACTTCAGTAATAGGTACTGGAAACAAGAGAGGCCTGAGCATTCTACATAATCAAAATACAACTATAAACTTCAAAATGAAATATAGCTGTGGCAAAGATAAAAGCAAGAGATATTTCCAACCAAAAAAAAACAACACAGGAGGGTGTAGGTATACTGTGTATAAATCTCTCACCCACTGTTCCAGAAAGCTGCATTCAGCTTGGAAGATGAGCAGAGAATAGAGAGCCATTATTGAAGCATAAGGAGAACTCTAAACCCTTACTAGCTGAGAAAATTACATGAAGCAAAGCAGCACAGTATAGAGATAATAATTTCAGCAATAGGGTAGTTGCATTAATACATCCAGATTGAGACCTGACTCCCTGTACAATAAAAACCCAAGATATTTGGACTATAAGAATCGTTGACCTATATTTATTTTCCCTGCCTTTCAATAGGAATCTTATTGACCCCCAGAAATACATTTCAGTTTTGATGTTTCTGATGCTTGTACAATTTTTCTTTGTAACTTGTTATAGAGTCATAGAAAGTCATAGAGTCAACTAGCTTGGAAAAGACCTTTAAGATCAAGTTCAAGCATTGTTACAGTTCCTATGAAAAGTAGTCTGTGTAAATTCAGTTTGTTATCTTCAGAAAAGCAAATTTCACCCTAAATGAGCAGATTAATTCAGTGTACCTTAACCTTTCCATTTGTATTCATCTATAATAATATATTCCTTAAAGCCTTCTTGTGATGTTTTATGTATTTAGGGAATACAAATTAAAACAAAACCAAAACCAAAATACAAACCACACTTTTCAAAACCTACAACTACTTTTATAAAGTTGCCCAATAGCATTCATGAAACACAAGTGTGGGGAATGCTGCACATACTAACTGCTAGGCAGGGGTCTATAAAAAGCCTGTAAGCTCACTCAATGAATGATTTTGGTTACACCACAACTGGAGTCTGTGCCTCAGTTGCCACGCACGAGCTTTAATCATGATAATTATGTATTTTAAAACTAGTATTTGGTATATAACAGTAAAAGATGAAATTTTCTTATTTTACCTAAGGTATTTCTTTTTATTTAAATTTACATTTAATTCTCATTGTTATGTATCTTAGTACCCTGCTTACTTTCATGTTTCATCTTTTTTTCTAGCATTTATTATTACTACTAGATCACTTTCTTAATTTTTATTCTATTTCTGCTCCATCAAGCACATACTTCTATAATTTAATTGTTCAGCACAATTGTTCAAGTGCTTAACTTTATATTTTGAGATACTGAATTCCATTTAGATCTCATTTTCTCACTTCTTCAATCAATTGATAACAGCCTGAAATGTATTGACTTCTTCAGTTGTATCAATAGTATTTTCTGTTTAGTACTGTCAGCAAATTATAAATACCAAGCAAAATCTTGCTTTTACTATGGAAAGATACACATCAATTTAGTCTCAGTATTGAACTGAGACTGGACGATGCTAATGCATTAGTTCTACTTTTGCCTTGACACAATAAACTGAAGTCTTCTCTTCTTCTGTCTCAATAAAGTCCTAAAACCTTGATAAATATTTTTCCTGATTTTTATAATAAAACTCAGAAAAATCAATTTATATACTCTCAAGTTGTATATAAACTCCTTAGGGAATTCCATTTTGTACCGTGAGTTCTATGCCCTGTATATCAGTGTCAAGCAATTCTGCTTTGTAATACACTCTAATGTTTTCCCTTCTATTTATGGTTAAAAAATAAAATATTGGTCATAAAAAAGGCAAAGACAAAATGGAAAATAAGAAAAAGATGTTTTACTTGTCTCAGCAAAATATAACCAAGAGACTCTGCTTCTTCTGCAACTCCAACAACAACCAGGTAGGGTCTTCCATGCCCACTTAGAAAAAAAGGCTCTACAAACACATATTAAAGCTGCCTTCTACACAAACTATCTCTTTGAGACCTCTTTACGTAAAATTATTCCTGGAATGCGAGTTTTGGCTACTGAAGCCTTGATCCAGTAATTTCAATCTCTGCATGATTTTAAGAGAAACCTGTTTGACCATAACATTATTTTCATCACAGTTCAATTCATAATACTAGCATGTATTGATTTCACAATTATTTTCCCTATTTGCCTTCTGCATATACAGCTGAAACTCAAGAAGTGTGTTATCAACTACAAATGCCAATGACACTTAATAACTGTGCTCATTTCAAAGCTGCAAAATCAATCACCATTGGGGATCTCCTCCTTCTTCATCTCTTTGTCACTTCTGGCATTCAAGAGTTATGGAAAATGGACCACTGATAGCAGAGCTCAGTCTAGGACACACTAGTCCAAAAGACTGCTGATGCTGTTGTTCAGCTAGAAACTAGATTTAAGGCTAGATTTGGCTATTGCTATTTTTCTTGAATGTTTTCTTCAGAGGAACAATCAAACGTCCTTTCAAATATGGCATTTCAGCTCCAGCTGTTCAGTAGAGCCCATTACCCATGATGCTGTAATTTACCAATACACTGTTAATCCAGTGCAATGACTTTTTAAAAGACATATTTTATTGTCATCAAGGAGAACAAAATGCTAAAAATAAAACAAAAACAGAGTACATGGAGGGCCAAATGGTAATGTGATTTTTCAGACAACATTTTCAAAGATATTTGCTTTTCATCATAGTCATAAGGAGGCTATAATTGTCATATTAATCTTTGTTATGGCAAATGGTACATCTCTTTCTATTTCCAAAGGTGACAGAAAGCCTGCCTTCCATCTAAACAGTGTAGTTTCATGAGTGTGCACATGCAACATGACAGTGGAAAGATTAATATAAATATATTGCATATCTTAAATGTAAAATGAAATAAAAAAAAATTTGCTTCCAGGTTAAGCTTTTTCTTTTTTCTTTTTTTTTTTTTTTAATAGTTCCATTGTCTCACATTCCTTCTGGTAAAACTTCATCATTCAATATAACTTCATCATTTATTCAGTAACCCAGGCGTCTCCAATGCATTAATTGTGTAGACTGTAACCTAACAGACAGCCCTTCTTTTGTGAATATAATATTCCTGGCACATGCTGTAATTATCTAGCTTCTAAATAAGAAAGAAAGAAGACCTGAAAGCAAAATCAATTGATTAATGTAAAAATTAAACACCACATTTAAATGAACACCTTTTATCACCGCTACCCATTGCTATGTAAGGAGCTGTGCTGTCTCCACATTTGGAAGTTTTATGAAAGATTTTGTTTAAAATTTTTAAATGCATACACAAAATGTTCCCATTTCAAAGCACATCGATAGCAATTAATTCAAAATCCCAAGACAGAGATGAACAGCTCCTCCTGCTTATCTTCTGGTTGTTCTAGCCTTAATGTACACCTACCATGGACTGGTATCATTCTTAGCTGACAAGTAGCAAACAGACTATGCATCAATTTTAGTGTGGGAGACAATGAGAAAACATTTTCTGAGATTAACAGACTATGTCTTTTCCTAAAGTAAATTAGGCAAAGTAGGGCTTTTGTTTGTCTTTAACAAATTAGGCTTCCAAGATCATGCTAAGAGAGAACACAGGAAAAAGAATTAGGAGGCAAGGCAATGAAGTTAAGCTGATTTAATCAAGATCAGAAGCTGATCTTAGATCTTGAAATGAACTTATTTCAATGAAAATGGTCTGTAAACTAGCAATGCACTATGGTACAGTGAATCCTTCATTTCTTAAAGTGTAGTGCAAAGTTTCCTTTCGTTCAAACACTTGTATGTATTCCAAATGCAGGAGGACTTTTTCTGAAAGAATAGGCATTTACTCCTTTGTAATGCTGTTCCCATATTCCTTTCATATGAAGTTATACCTTTTGATTTTAATAAATCCATTTGCTTGTGTAGGAAACAAACATTCTCTGCGGTATGACAGCTAAAGAGGTGCATCATCTATATAACAGGGTTAAATAATTTATTCACTATTGCAGTATATATTAAAAAGTGGTTGTTGCTTCCTCTTCCAACTTCCGAAGAAACACAGTCCTACTTTGATGCATCAGTTTAGCTATTTAATGAGAAGCAGAATATATACTTTTCCTCCTTTTTTTTCATTCTGTCTATATGTCCAAGATTACTCACATTGTTTCCTGAAACTGTATTAAGGGTAAGCAACTTTAGTTTTCTCATTATGCTTTTCTTATGACAGCCATGGAAAGACTCAGTATAATCTCATCACCTTGCATTCATCAGACTACTAAAAGCTCTGGCATAGATTTCTCTAGGCCTATTGAGTATTAATTTAAACCACTGCACTGATGTGAAAAGTTTAGGTGTCTCCTTTTAAGCAGACTAAATGCACTTTTGAATGCAGAAAATACTTATATTGAAATTAGATCTTTCATAGAAAAGTTGGAAAATTCCTGACTGAAACTACTGGGAAACAGTAAGTACTGTAGTAGGAGCAGTGGAGAGAGAACAGCAGCAACAGCAAAGGAGTCTGTGGAGGGGTGTGGAGCAATGACTGCACACGAGTAGCTGCACAGGGTCAGGCAGAGGACCTATGAAATTCAACACTCTGGCTACAAGCAGATACCCAGAGAAAGTAGGAACAGCACCATATGGTACTTCCTAAGTATCAACATCCAAATTCACATGTTTAAATAAGGAAAATTATGACTAATGAGGCCATAAGTCTTTCATGGTTTATAAAAACAACACAGTCCAGGAATGTTTCTAACGAACTACTTAGTCAAGTTACACTGTGTAAAAACCCAAGGTGTCATTTTCTGAAGCTCCTCACACTGTCATCGCAACTGCCAGGGCTGAATTGAAATCCAACAATATTGCAGTAGAGCAGCATCTTGGACTGCCAATTACAAAACTAGCAAACTTAAATCCTGACCATCAAATACATCAGTGAGGGTTTTCTAACATAACTCAAATTGACAACTGGGAGCCAAAGGTGAAAAAACAGGTACCCAAGCAACAGTTCTCTGATCTGAAAATTTATTTGGTTTTGAACACAGGATTAAGAAAGAATTGGAAAATTACAAAGATGATGATTGGGAAAGTATCTGCGAGACTCTTCGAGCAGAAATTGAAATTCTGCAAATGGTATGCCAGTTTCATTATGGATTTTAAGTGTTCGATAGTTTTACTTCAAGGTGTAATTTCAGGTGATTAGCAGTGGGTTTAGATAAGCGGGTTTTTATGCTATGTATGCAACCAAACATCCTTGCATTGTAGGTGCACTCAATTCTCCTTTGTTTTGGCCTGTTATTTCCAAACGCCCTGGAATATCTATTTGCACAGAAAATAATTTAAAGATACATTTTTAGCACAAGAAAGACCTACCTGGGGGACTAGTTTTAATCATTACTGTCTTGAAAGCTGTAAAATATTATGCATTTAGGAGCTAAATTAATCTGTATCTCCAGCTGTCAGTTAAATGGAAGATGGGAATATGGAGAAAGAGGATGATAATAGCATCCTTTTACGCAATATGTTATATTGTCCACTCACAGATTCTTTATATGAACTTATTAAAGTGTGCTTTTTATCTCTAAAGGGCGATTCTAATTTCAAATTTCTCGATTGTCAGTCTGTGTAAAAATAAAACTAGAAAAAAGTATTTTGAAGTCATTTTTTTGATGTAAAGGTGTTTTAAAGGTTCATTTTGGAACCCCTGATTGAGCTGTATGAAAACCCAGCTGCCACAGAATAACAGTCAGAGGAAATTTGTATTACTCACTGTAATAATCAGCTTCAAGTTGCTGTTGGAGGAATGTAACTTACTTGTAGTTTATCCTTTAATTTTATCATGCTTGTGAAAATTCAGGAACAAAAATCCCCAAACAGCTCAATGTTTAAAAGTGTCTCTGTAAAGGACACACTGAACTCATTAGAGCTCATTTTCTATAATCCAATTCTTTCTCTTTTCCAGAATCTATCACAAAAAAAGTCTTCAGATAAGTGAACAATATGTGGCTGATGATATGGAGTATCATGGAGGCTAGCCTTTGAGCATTTTAAAACCATTTTACTCGGGCTCTGTCAGGTTCGTTTCTATTTGCTTGGCTAAACCACAGTTTGTTTCCTGCCTTTTACTTTTCATTAAAATAAAATTATATTCATTTATAAGTGCTGGACCGTGTGAATACATTCTCTCACTCTGCTCAGCCTCAGTCCACTTTGTGGTCATCGTTTCATCACACCCAACTCTGTATGCAAATAATCTTCAATCAGCTTCCCACCTGGGGGGTGGAATGCATAATTACTCACACTTGTTCTTCTACACCTAGAGCTCTCTAAGCTGGAGGGGGTGTCTGTCACACATAAATCTGCCAAAGACATTCTATTAAGAAAGGAGAAATAAACCACTTTTGGAAGCTGACCAAATTCTTCCTGTGATGGAGAAAGATTTTTCCTCTTGGGACACAAGCTGCAGTTTGAAGTCTGTCAAGGTCTGATCTACAGCAGTGGTATCAAATAGTATTTTGATCCACTGGGTTAGCCAGGGTAATTCCAAGAGACTGGAATTATCATTCTCAATAACCAGAGCTGTTGGAACCAACATTCTTATATAGGTTTTTTTTTTGTCTTTTTCCTAAGAGGGACCCTCTTAAGATGTGCTTTACTTTAAGCAACTTAATCCCTCTGACTTGTATGGGACCATCTGACTATTAAAAGTTAGGCAGCCTACTAAAGGTAGACAACTACTGATTGTGGGTTTTGATCAAATCCAAGACATACTGCAAAATTACAGAGTTGCATATCAGTGTGTACAGATGGCTAAAGCAGTGGTGTTTCTGAGTTTAATTGCTGGAAACAGATATGAACTGGGGACTTGTTGAAATGGCTGAGTATAGCCTGATCATTTTATTCATTTACGGGGGCTTGTTATATTTGCTTTTATTTACAAGAACCCTTCCATCTGTTTTGCAATGGTTTCATGTTTACATTGTTGCTCCATCCACATAGATTAAATGCTTAGATACGACATGAAACAGAACCATGGGCTTATACCAGCATTCTACATAAACATTTTAGGTAAGTGGAATGAGCAGTATCATCTGTCATGGTTTAACCTCAGTTGGCAAATAACATGCAGCCACTCATATGGAATACCCCTTTGGCTAGGTCAGGGCAGGTGTCCTCTCTCTGCTCCCTCCTGGCTTCTTGTGCTGCTCCTCACTGGCAGAACATGAGAGACTGAAAAGTCCTTGATCAGAGTAAGTGCTACTGAGCAACAACTAAAACATCAGCATTGTTCTCAGACTAAAGCCAAAACACAGCACTGTACCAGCTACTAGGGAGAAAATCTACTCTATCCCAGGTGAAACCGGGACAACATCCAATAACTATCAATTAATAATATAAATTAATGTCCCTGAGTTACCTCAAAAAGCATCACGGGAAAAGAAATATGGTAAGTTCTTCTCAGAGATACTTCAGATTTCTGGAAACCAACTGCAACTTCATTTTGTTTGTTAGGGGGTTGTTTTGTTTTTATTAGCTGTGAAGGTCTAAATTCTTGATTATTGTAGTAGGATTACAGCATAAATATAGCACAACTTGTAATAACTCAAATGGCTAAACCTCTCTGAATCAATATAACAACAAAACTAGAATAAAGCTCACCAAAATAAGTGAAACAGAAATCAATACAAAGCCTATTGGGCTAAACAAATCCCTCAACAGCTCTGAAAAAAATATAATGCCAGACCAAACTAGCTGTTGCTGGCTGAATGTAAATGTATTTTTGTACTCAGAGAAATTAGTATGTTTGTCACCAGTGTCTTACGAAAAATGTAATTTGGTACAAACACGGTATTTCTGTTTGGAGGACTCAAGCAGAAGTCTGATATTGTTTGTTTTCTTTAAAATGCTCAAACTAGGGATAAGTACTTTTTTAAATAATGAGTGCAAAAGAACCAAACCTTTTGTCATGTTTAATAAATATGTTAAAGAACAGTACATGATCAAACTGCCCTGAAATTGCACTAAGAATTACTAATTTCACAGATGACATAATAAGATATTTTTAAAGGGGTAGATTATATGTTACAGACCTTGTTTATGAAAATGTAACATAACCTCTGAGGCTAGAGGAAGCAATTTTCTCTTTCTATAACCAAAAATGATGATTTTGAGCCATAGAAATTTTTGAAGCAGTTAGAGAGAAAGAGGAAGACAGCACAAGAAAAAAGTTGTTATTCTAGAAACGAACGTGGGGGAAACAAGCCATGCTTCTGTATTGGACCTGGGAAGAGTTGCTTTTTAGGATCAACAGATAAAAACTCCCTCATTTTTGAAGGAAGAATGATAAATACTAAATTTACCTGGTAAGGATTGAGATTTGACAAGAGTCAACTCCTACAAACTTCACAGAAGACCTGATGAACTGTGTTTTAATCTCAGGCTTACACACTAACACCCCAGCTTCTCTACTCTGCCCACACACCTGAGACACAGCTGGGCAGATGGATTATTGGGTTTTTAATCACCAAATCACAGCTCCCAGCTATGCTTTGTAAAAGGCACTTCCCAGTAGCAGCCTAATGCAAACAGATTACTGCAAAGGCAAATCCAAGATCCATTTCAAAAAACCTAACAGGAAAATAATTAAACCAGGCCATGGACATGAGAAGGCTTGAGAAAAACCGTTGAACTTTTGAAAAGAGGTTACCAGCCAGGGTAAATTTGACCTTGTCTGTTGAACCCTTAATCTACAAGATTATGGGGTTACAAATCAGCCTTAATGAGTTTGGAGGTACAGCAGGTCAAGTCAAGGTCAGGAGCCAAAGAAACTGGGAGATAAACTATGGCAAAGTCATGGTCAGAGGCCTTGCAGAAGACCCAAGAACCTCCATACCCAACAAGCCAAGAGACAGAACTCAGTGCCCAGTGAAGATATGGCTTAACTGTGTAACTAAACTCCCCCATGACCTAATGTTGCTGCCCCAGATATGTACCTATTCTTGGAGGAAGGAACAGCTACAACTAGGAGGAAAAAGAAAAAATAATGCAAGTATTTTGTTTCTTATAAAAAGGATTTAAGCTACCACGTTTTCATGTTATTTTATTTATTAACAGCCTATTCAAAGAGTACCAGGAAAACCACAATATCTGACCACAGACTAAAATTACAGTTAGCTAATGCAGCAGTACCCACACAAATGATCTCTAATTGGTTAACATAAATATGATTTAATTGGTGATAGTGCCAAATTAACATTATAAAAGGAAGAACAGCACCAAATGAAAATAGAAGTCCCACTACAAAAAGTACCTGAAACTGAATGGCAGATTGAATCAGTGAGAAAAAAACTGTGTTGTGTTACACAGGGGGCAAAAATACCAACTGAGGTCACATAGCTTGTTCAGCTGATCTAGTTTATAGGGTTCTCAATCACAGAGGCAGCTGACAGTCTGCAGCTGGTTGCCTACACTGAGCTTGACAGTTTGGTGGTTTGACTCATCTGAAAAATAATTAGAAACCAAGAGAAAGGAACATTTATTCTTAAAACCTGTAGCTGAATTACATGCATAGATCAGAAATGGGTAAGAAACATACCTGCATGGCCAACCCCTGCCACAAAGCTGTAGTGGAAACTTGAGAGCACAGATTCTACAAGAATGATAGCAAGGGACAACTAGAAAGAGAAGACATGTTCCAGCACTGTTTCCCTGGTTAAGGATGCTATACCTGTCTTGTAGCAGATCCTCTTTGTCCTTCAACAGGAAAAGGATTTGCCATTCACTATCTTTTTTCTGCAGATTTAATCAAATGTAGAGTGCTATATCTTACTATATAATGGGGATTAAATACATTAGAATTTTGAAGAGGTCTATATGTGCATGTACTTGTTTGGGTGCTTTCTGTTCTAACTGATACCATAGCATCCAGTCAGAGTGAATTTGTATGAAACAATTGATATCTCTCTATATCGCCATGCTTGTCCAGGTTTAAACTCATATTCAGTACAGTAACTAAGGTGTAGAGTGAGCCAACTGGCTTACCACAGTCATTTTCAGTTTGATAGCAGTTTGCCACATGAAAAAGGATTTTACCTCTGACTGAGCTGAAGTAATAAATAGGGAGCTTACAGTAAGAGAAAACAGCTCCAGGTGATTTCCATGGAAGAGATAACAGGTTTATTAGATTTGTGGCACACCCACTTCCAGGGATGACAGTAGAAATACACTGGGTAAAGAGGACTGAAATTAAATGTGATCCTACATCATGTTAACTGGGTAAAAGATCACTTTCAAGGCCTAACAACCTATGCCTTGCTTATCAATAGAGTATTTAAGTAGGAGCTCTGTTTCTTTTACTGATTGCAGTTGACATGTGCTTATATATTCTAGTGATAGGCCAACCTTCCAAATTCCCATCCTTCTTGCTGTGTCTGCCAGGATATGTCATCCCCTTTTCAAAATTACTTTTGTAATTATTTTATTGCTCATCTGGTGAATATTTTGGGCTGAATTTATCAAGTTTGTAGATACTTTTTGTGTATTATAGGTACCACGTTTCTGTTAACAGCCCTTTGTGTAGCAAAGCATCTATACTCTGGACTGAAAACCAATTATATTTAGTAATACCTTCATCTGCAGAAGGGCAGTTCTCACCTGGCTTACTCATAAACCTCCTAAAGCCCAAACTGTCAAAAACACCTACAGACTTTGAGCTCCATGTAGGGGAAATGCAAGCTTTGATTCTCTGAAGGGCCAAGGTTAAGGCCCATCCATACTTTCACAGTCACCTTCAGTCACTCCACTGATACATGTAGGGTTTTAATGAGTTATCAGCATGTCATCGGCAGAAAGCTTATATTTTACTTATTTTTTTTGACTGAAATTATATCAGAAAGTATAGTACTACATCACTTTCGATTTTAAAACACTAGATGTGTTACACAAAAATATATAACTTTTGCATTTCTTCTAGCAGACCTATACAGGAATTCCCAGATATAAGATTCACTACTCCTGTGCTTGCTCCCATTAAGCACAACTCTGTCAGTCTGAATAGCTGAGGAGCTTAAAAATGTCTTTGGAAATGTGAAATGGGATCTGTTTCCTTTCTTCCCACTTAATGTCTTGAGTATTTAAAGACAACATCCACTTGCTTGGAA